CAGCAGGGGCTGAGGAAGAGATTGCCAGACCTGGTTTCCAAAGTAGGTGATGATATTTCTACTGTGTGTGTGTATTAGTGCAGCGCATCTGTGATGCACTCTAAAAGTATGTGCTGGCCTTGTGTGCATCCTAAGTACTTTTAAAAGTACAGTAGCTGTTATCCTAAAGTGTGAAGAAATACAACTGGATTATGGATTTTGTTGAAGGTTCTCACATAAGAGCAATTATGTGGTAAGATTGCTTCCATTAAAATCTCCTGTTGAGTAGAAATAACTTATGTGTGCTAAATATTACCAGTAAACTAAATTCACTTGCCTGGGGAATGAATTCGTGTATGTGAGTGACAGGAGGGGATAAAATTTGCTCTTGTAGCGAGATGGAAATGTTACATTTTATGGTAATATTCAATCACTGTTTTCAATAAACTAGAAACCACCTAGGGCACAATGGGTGCTCCAAGGTGTAGGGTTTAGTGTGGTGACATTACAGCCTTCCTTTGAAAATATAGAAATGAAAGTAATGGGGTGTGCAAAATAACATATCCTGACCTAGGCCAGAAGTAGAATGCCAAGGAGAGCTTAGAGATGGGGTCTGAGATATTGAAAACGATACTTCTATAAAGTGGTTTTTTTCTTGTTTTATATATGCATTGAATAAGTGTTTTATATAAGCATAAATGAATATTTGTGGCGTGAATATTGATAGCATGAATTACAATTGAAATTTTAAATTGGTTTTAAATAACTTTCTGGTAACTTGCAAAAGGGGATTTGTATAAAGTGTATTTGGGGGAAAAATGTGATTTTGTTTAAATTTTCATGTCATAACATCTAAAACCCCGAACAATTACATTATTTACCCCACGCTATTTTCCCCTTGTCAGTGAGGAAAGGTGAGGGACCCAGGAGCGAGATCTCCTAGCAGAGGGGTTCAGCCAGCTCTGCTGAAGCTGCAATGGTGCGGAGGGGAAGCTAAGGGTGGCTGAGGTTTCCCTGGGCCTGCGTGCGCCTTGGTTCCCTTGGGGCTTTGGCATCCCCCGTGTCCCCGGCCTCCTCAGAGCCCCGCGCTCCGCCCACCTGTGATGTCATAGTAAGGAGGGGCTTTTCTTCTGCCGACTCCTCCCTCGGAATCTCCTTCATCACCATGGCAACAGCCTTATCTGCCGCCCTAGAGCCTTTCCCCTACAACAGCGAAATCAACAATGGCGCGAGTCAGCAACTGCTTCCCAAAAACACACCCCAGAACCATCCCGTCCTTAAACTGACGGCGATTACAGCTGGAAGCAAAGCTTGGTTGAAAGTAGAACACACAAACACCGTTTAAAAGTAATAATGAATTATCTGTGAACCTGTTAGTTATCGGCGTGCTTGGGGCCTGGCCGTACTCTCGTGACTCATTAGAGTTGCCCCAGTGAAGTCAACGGGAACACACCAGTTGCAATAGAAGGATTTGGACCTTTAGCAGCACAGAATCTCCATAGGAGCAAGGTCTGCAGGACCAGCCCCTTAATTTAATTACAATTGACCAAAAGTTTATATATAGAAATACCTTTTTTTTTTTTTTGCATAAAAATAGCATCAAGCTGATTCTGCAAATAAAGCACAGTTCCTTGTAGTTCACTGAGGCAAACTCCCCCTGAAGTTTGAACGTATAACCTGAAGAGCTGGGCCCGCAGTGTTTATAGTTCTAGTAACATTTTAAAAAGCAATTTACATCATATAAACATCTGGGTTTTGCTAACAGAATATACGGAGCCAAATTCTGCCATCATAGGCATTGCTACAGTTCTCCCAAAAAAAGGTCATTGCTGTTGAACTTACTGTAAGGATTTTTAAAAAAACTTTTTTCTTCTTAAAATTCACTTAATATATTGTAAATATTTAAGCAAAAGCTAAAGTATTTGAACAATATTTAATATTTTAGCCAAACAAAAAATACATTATGTGCCATATTCTTTTTGAAGCCATACTCTTTATTTTAAAAAGGTATTTCTTGAATTCACATGAATATCAATATATTGATCTCTTGTACTCTTGCAAGTGACAGAGAAAATCCAAGCGTACACATAAAGCATAGCAGCAGATCTGTATTATGCTAGTGACCCTGGGCACATCCTTGCTATTATGCTTGCAAAACTCTCATTGATTTCTGTGGAAGCTTTAGCTGTGCAAAGACTGCAGGATCTGGCTCCATAAAAGCAGCATTTTACACTAGACTTAAATATATTTAAATACTTAAAAATCTTTTAACAGAAGGGGCTTGTTACTACCACATCATATACTAGAATTACTTTCACTAGCACTATATTCTGCATCCAATTAAAAAAAACAGTATTGCTTATACTGAACTACAGGTTGTTTCAGAAACATTTCATTGATTGCAGGTAAAAACATTATGTACTATTGTGGTTTTTGAACAGATTTTATCCATCATCAGGTGAATTTTTGGTTAGCTCGCTTGTGCAACACATCACAGTTACCCTACAGAGAGTTCTTTGCATGCTGCAAGAAATTCTCAGAGCAGAAGTGTCATAAATGATAAGCATGCTGGATTTGTGATGCCTTTGATAGCAAAAGAACTGTGAAGTACATGTAAAATTAAATATAGTTAATTCAATTAGAATTATTTCTAACTGGTAAGCATATCAAAGGTTCTTGGCCAATTAGTTATTTACTCTGTTCATGATTCGTATGACATATTTCAGGTCTGCGAAGCTTGTTTCTAGTATGACGTGTGGAGCTGTTAGCTAGCACTAAAACATGCTATTTGATATTTATAAAATATAGTCCTTTTGTGCTGGGTGCTAGAACAGTATAGTTTATCAGCTAGAAAGGATGCATTGGAAAGCATGCAGTGCTTTTTAGTTCTTGCAGAGTAAAACCCACCAAAGCAAAGGTCAGGTCACTTTTTTGAAGACAGAGCCACTTTTTCTTCAAGGTTTCACCTACTGCCTGAAAAGAGTCATGATACTCGGATTAGTGCCTGCTGTTAACCTTTATAAACATAACTGCAAAGCCCTGGGAGCGGTTGATACCATAAATAATCTGTCTCACCAGTTTGGAGTGGCTATAGTACAATGGAGAACTGTACCCTGAATTGCTGGCTTTTATGAGCAGAATTCATATATTTGCTAGTCAAAGCAAGTGGTTTGATACTACTTTATTAGGTCTTTCTTTTAGCTTTCCTAAAAGACTACACGTAAGTCAGATTGATTTATTTCTGGCTACTTGGCCTATGGTATGGAAAACATTATTTTGAATTAGAAATTATTAGGCAGTTACCTGGATACCAAGGAGAAAGGCACTACAGCGAAATAGCCTAAATTCTCAGATTCTGATGGAGAGATACACAGGTGACCAATTAATTGGAAAATTCAGAGGTTTATTCTGGTGACCAGAAATGGATTCTGTGGTTCAATGTAAGGTATACAGGCTTGAAAATTTTGGTCTCTGTATTTGCTATAGTAATACTGTATTTATTCAATCCTTGCTTATGAAGTGATGAGGCAGAAGAACTGGAGAGGAATAAACACAGTTTTTCTCTGGCCAGGACAACCTTGTTACTGTTGTGAACTGAAGCTGAAATTATAATCTCTAGCACATTTATTACAATAACCATTGAAGATTTTTTTTTGAAAGGTGCTATTTACTTGGCCTCATTCAATACTAAGGGTTGTTTTTTAGTGTTTTGGCTTGCTCTGTGTATTTATCTGTCACAGGAGCTTATTGCTCAAAGCCCGTAATCCTGTAACAGCTAATTTTACACTTGCAAGGTCTTTAAAATGAAAAGTTTGTTGATAGTGCAGAATTGTGAGGTAAGTTATTTTGTCATGTAAACAACAATTTAATAATTTAGTAAATAAATTTCCTCATTCCCTATTTGTCTGTAGTGTATAGATGGAAACAATTGTAATGCAGAGCATGACAACCTATGCACAAATCAAGACAAACACAAACTGATGAAGGAAAAATACATTATTTGTTTCGTGGAACATACTGCTTAAGGAAAACTGAGAAACATGCCAGTATTTCATTATTTGATAGACTTAAAATGGAACCGTTCCTTTAGCTGATGTCTCCAGAGTAAATAAGAGTAGAGTGCAGAGTATTCCCATGATGCTAAGTATTTATAATAGAATTGAGTTCAAAACTTAATAACAGTTTCTCGAGGTTTATCCTTTGGGATCAGATAATGGATGGTAATAGACGTTTCCAAAGGAGTATGCTGATTTGATGGGATTTTGTAAGGAAATAATTTAATTATTATTTATTTTATTTAATTTATGTATTTATTTAGCAGATGGTTTTTCTGAATAGTTACAAATTAAATTTTATATGAGGCACAATGTTTAGATGTGGTGTTTAGTAGTGAGTATTTAATTAAGCTACAGTAAGAGCACATTAATGTAAAGTTCTAGGACAGCATAGAAATGTTGCTTGGTTTTTTTAGGTTTTTTGTAGTTTTGTTTTTGTTTTTTTAATTTTTAAATCAGGTATGCATATAACTTTATAACTGTGCTCATGCATGATAAAGCTTTTCTTCTTTAAATACATGGGGCCAATAGATCACCTTCAAGTCACGATGAGCAGATCAGTTAGGATGAAAACATGGTCATACTTGAAGCATTACTGTTTGGTGAAATACTACATAATTCTGTCATTCTTTTCTTCATGACAGTTGTTTGCAAATTTGTTCTTGTATATGACAAGTCAATGGCCAATACCTTAAAAATACGTAACATTTTGACAACAGTATTTAAACTGTAATGATTAACTACAGAAATTCTTTGTATTTTTCTATGCAATAAAAATATATTATCTAAATCCATAACATAATTAGAAGTTTGCCTTTGACAAATGTTTAAGGTACTTGAGTCCCAAATTTACCTTGCATGAATATTTATACCACTTATTCTTGTGAGAAAGTGAGCAGAAAAAAATTGAGTGATCAGATTTTAAAAAAATAAATATGCATGGAGAAGGAAATTATTGATTCATATAAAATTGTGATGTTCCATTTATTTTCCAAAGATCCTATCAAGCCATTTCAGCTTTACTTGACACACTACAATGCATCACTATTCAGTGAGCTATTGGAAACCATCTCAACATGAGCATGTTTAAATTTAAACTTTTGTAAAATAGAAGTTTTAACACAGCTTTCCTTGTAAAGCAATTTGATAGGGAAAAAAGTGATATGCAGACAGTGCTAGGACATGTAAGATATGATTAATGTTTTGATGTGGCCTCCCTCCTTTCTAGTTAAGGAGCAACAGAATAGCAACCTGCTGTATTTATGAATATAATGCCAAAAAAAATCGAGGTGTGAATTGAAGAGTGTTTAAAAACAAAACTATAGAAAAACACCAAGTACTTTTCAGTCCAGAGTATCTTGAGGTACTGATCTGCTTTTTTAATAGCTTGAGGAGGAGTTCTATAAAGCAGACTTTAGGAAAGATGCATTAGTGGTAACTTTAAGTTATAGTAGCTGTAGCCCTATGTTAGGAGGAAGAGCAGATAAAGCCACTGTATGGATTGAACTTGGGATGCCTGGCTCCAGATCCCCAGGCAGCCAATACTTACAGTATCAAGTAAGCAGCCTATTCAAAATGGCTTTATGCACCACAAATCTTTGTGTTTTGTGCAACTTAGAAATAAAAATGAAGGGAGAAACTTTGCTTTTCTGTTTGAAAATTATGCAGTGCTAACATTTTTACTTCTCAAAATGAGCCCACACAGCTATGCAATGGTACTGTGAAAATTCTAGCATCCACAATATGACAGTGAGCTCTTGATTTCACATAGGACCTGTGTTTATTTCTTTGTATTTTCTCTTCGCAGGCTTTTCTGTTCATGTTCTCTCCCAATGTCTTTCTTCTCATCATCTATGCTTTTCTACTGTTTACTAGTGGTATATCTTGCATCTTATTTATCATTAAAAATAATGAGAAACCATGTGGTGCTGCAGTTTTATGAACCAATATAAGAAGAATATTTAAGCAGAAAATTCTATTTTGTCAAAGCTCTTGGTAGTTTTTTTACTATGAGCTTAACAAAGTGAGGGATCTACCTAAGGTAAATGGCAACACAGTTCCTTTAGGCAGTGCTCAGTTGACTGTGCTGTGGAGTCACATGAAGAAGCTCCATGTCCTGAATTGAAAGCAATTATTGTCAAGGTGGACCAGGTTTTGGGACCTGAGCTGGTATTTCCATATTGTACTTGCATCCTTTGGAACCTCTTACCAAGCTTTTTGCTGGTAAGGTACTGGTCCAACCTTTCTTAACTCATAACCTTTAGTAGCTTATTCTCATGAGATTATGATGAAATACAGGTAGCGCTGGCTGCAGAGAAGGAATCGCAAATAGGAAGGCTTGCCCAAGAAGTAATTTACAGCAAAAGAGCTAAATCCATATTGGCTGAGTTCTAAGTGTATTGCTCATATTTAATTCATTTCTGTTTTCATTCTTACATTGATGGAATAACATTTCAGTATTAATATGGGAAGACTTTACTGCATACAAGAAAATTGTCGAAGGAAGAGATAATAGCTGATAAAAGGTAATCAGCATGAACTTCACATTTACCTTCGCTGGGTTGTGTCTTGTGTCCATTAAAATGTCAATACTGTGGTTAAATTGCATTGCAGTTTGAGAAGCATTTTCACTGAAACGGCATTGTTGGATTTCTGTATATTGACCATCAGTAACTGTTGCATTATGTGTGCTCCCTCTGAAAGTTGTCTTATTCTGATGCCTGTAGATTCATTGCGGAAGCCAAGTGGGGCAGCTTCCAAAGCAACTCCAGTGAAAGCGCTGCAAGAGCCGTTTTGCTTTCAAGGATTTGTGCAAAATTATTTTCTTAATGCATCTGAACACGTATTATGACTGGGAATTAATAAACAATCCTGTCAAGTCTAACTTATTCTCTCTAAACTGGTATAGTTCCTGCAATGAAACTGTGTTGGTATTTTTCTCTTAAGTCACAAAGTTTTATTTGGAATATATATAAGGAGTGTAACACTTTCTAATGTTGGAACAATAACGTTGACCTAACTGTAAACAGTGAACCCAGCCTGGGATATAGAGCAAGGTTGGTAAAAGCAGCAAGGTCTGGGGCAGAGCTAACTACTGAGAGGTTATTTAAGGCTCTGGTCCTTTTATGAACAAGTTACATAACACAGCTGCTTGTGATAGCAGCCTTGGATGAAACCTTCTGCAGTCCTTTCTTTCTGTGCAAGTTTCATCTCTTAATAAGGCCATTGTGAATATGTGGAAACTATTTTAGCACTTACTGATTGAGTTCTTGAAAATTTGGAACTGCATTATCAAAAAGGTGAGACTTGACTGCACAATGGTATTTGACTTCAAAAATTTCAGGGAATAGCCGTAGATTTTCTTTTATCTCTCTTCAGTCTGTGTCAAGGAACATTGTGAAATCATTGGATTTAGCAGTTGGTAATTTCAAATTTGTTTGGCAGTCTTCAGCAGAGAATTAATACTGAAGTATTTTCTCTTAGTTGGGGTTCACTTTATGTTGACCTCAGTATCATGAGCCCCAATCATAACATACACATAATAAATACAGAATTAGTTTATTACTGTGGTAATGCATGTACTGAATTAGAATATGGCATTGCTCTGGTACTAGTTGAAGTGAAATTCAAGAAGCTCGGATCACTTACAAAATAAGCAGATTGGTGACAAATGTACTGCCCATTGTTTAAATGTGTGTTTACTGCACAATTGATGTGTAAACTGTTTTTCTCACTTCCTCCCATATTATTGGTTTTATCAATTACATTACCGATAAAACAAGTACTTCTGATGTGATTTCCAGTTTTGTGCGCTTTTTTGCACGTTGTCTTTCATGGAGTCTCAGGATGCAGTTCATGTTGATGGAAGGGCTACAGCAGCAGCAGACCCTAAGGATGAAGTTAGAAGCACAGAAAGCT